AAGCATTCTTACTTTACAGCATTTTTTCACACCTGCCTAAAACTTTTTCACAGTACTGTATAATATTATGTACACATTGCATTTTATTTTATATATAATTATATAATGTATATAATGTATAAATTAGACAAATCAACTGACAATCTACAGAATCAATATTTTAAATTAAAGGCCACAAACATCGCAACAATTATTTTTCACTATAGTATATTCACAGTGCAACAGTGGCCATTTACGTTACTAGAAACCTGTACAATAGGCAGCAAAAGAAGCTGTACGCACACATGCATGTGGTGGTGAGCTGGGAAAGTAATTGAAGCCACCGTGCCAAGAATGCGGCTGCCTCATTGTTTTACTCATGCTTACAGGTTGTGCAAAGAAAGCCCTCATTAAAATGCTTTGCACAGCTCTACTGTTGACTTTGTGGCAACAATGCATTAGAGCAGATTAATTTTTAATGATAAAGCGTTAGGTTCTTACATGGAAAAATGAAATAATCACCCAGAAAGATGGATTTATTTCAACTTTCAAAAATTTACCACTCCAACTGACCAAAAAGGAGCACAAATCGTAAAAGCATATATCTGGTAGCTGAAACTTACATGTATAGGTGAGGCGGGATCCGGCTGAACACTCTGAAGACAAAACAAGATTCACCATGTTAGCTATAGGATTTGTTATTACAGAATCCAAAATAAAAATAGTTTTGTGCTGGATTTCTCATCTGTCTGTCTGACTGTCTTTCTGTCTATCTATGTAGAGCTTCCTGTGCCAACACATCTCAAAGCAGTATACAGTAGAAATAAAATACATAATAAAACAATACCTTTAGACGATATAAAACGCATATATAAAACAATGCATTACCTTTAGAAGAGAGTACTGGCAGCTTGCCATGATAAGACAGAACAGGAGCACCCAAATGTCTTTACAAAAACCTTGGTTCATAATTAGAAAACCAAGAAAAGAAACAAGGATTACTAGAAGAACTGCCAAAACATTCTCCTTGACATCTTCTGTCCTGTAAAAATAACACACCAATATATTTTCAAAAGCAGAAATGTAATCATGTCATTTCTATATAGGCCTGTAAATTGAAGCCAGATCACTGTATCATAAATATACTTAACCTTCTTAGGATACCCACATGAAGGCACCACGTGTGCTCTGATGATATGCAAAAGTCAACTTTACCTGGTCTCTCTGTGCATGGCATTCCCTGTACAACCTTACTGGTGAGAAAAATATCTGCATATTTATACCTTTACACAAGGAAAAGATTGCCAAGTCAAAGCAACCAACAGAAGTTAGCTTAATTATTTTTCTTTGCAGAAATCAGAAACTGTATCTCTGAAAACAAGCTACTTAATAAATGTGCTTATTGAAAATCTTTCTATTACAAAAAGTAAGTACAGTAAATCTAAACTTTTAAAAAGTGCAATTTTGGAAAAACTATACAAAACAATACAAAAGTGATAGGGTCTACAGTTAAAACCAAAAGTTTATCTGTATCTACATCCCAGTGTCTAGAGTCTTGAAAATCAGTGTCATAGAAATGGTTGTAAATCAACTCAATAAATAAATAAAACTTGGAATAAAAGCAAACTCTAGCAACCAGCAAAGTGTGAATGGGGTTTGTTGGTAACTGCTCTTCAGGGGTTAAGAGCCATAATTTAGAAGCAGCCATTGAAAATCGTGTCTCTCCTAATCTTAGAGAACAAACAGGAATTAGTTTCTAAGGTTACAGACAGACTGCAAATACATGCATGAGTGGGCCACTAAAATTCATAATCTAATATCCAATATGTAATTTAGCAGATCCTCCCTTCTATTTCCATTGTTGTGCAGAAAGTACAGAAATGCATAGACAATGATTGTTTAAGATTCATAAACCCCAATCCTGTCACTTCATATCAGTGTGAATTCTTTCAGGCAAGAGGAATCTTTAAAGGTCGGATTTTAGATCACATACCTAAAGCGTAACTAGAGCTCTGACTAGGACAAGCTTTCAACAATGTGAGATAGAAGCAGATATATTTGTTTAAACCAGATCTGCCCCCACCACATGTAAAATAGGGATGTGGTCCAAACCAAGAGGAAAAGCAAATCCTTTCTTTGACTACTAATCAGTTCCCTGCAGCTTCTTTCCTTAGACATTTTCTTCTTCCTTCCTGTTCTTGGAGCTTGATTGAAGAGAAAAGCACCTATTGGAGGAGACTACAAGGAAGTATATTGTCAAGATTGTTGGTGTTTAGGACCCCATCTGGGTCCTCCATTTGCCTTAAGATTCAAATCCATCCTTGGCTTTACCTACAAGTAGGGCAGATCCAAATGTAAACAAATGTTGCTGTCACCATTCAGGTATCATTTGAAAATGATTGGTTTCCACTTCAGTATTAGACATAGGTATCAAACACACAAATTACAAACCTGAAATGACTACTGATTAATGCCCATTAAGAGAAGATATTTAAAAATAAAATAACACAAGAAACAGGCTAACATTTTATGAATGAATATTACAAGTAGATGTTCAACCTTTCAGTGAATGTCATGCATCAGTGTGAAACTTACCTGTCCAGCAATGCCAGCAAGGTAAGTCGATCATACCAGATTTTTATCCATTTCCCAGGAAATACAATAAATTTGTAAAACTGTCTATTAATTTTTCTTTGAGCTGATGAACATGAAGAATCCTCAAGGTCTTCACTAAAATGCTTTCAACATGAAATAAAAAATAATAGAATTGTATATCATTTTCATAGCACTGCCTTGTATAAAAAGAAGGTTTTGGTACAATTTTACAGTTGTTTCTTTTTCAGTGGATATAGTTAAACAATGGCCATAGTCAATATTTTCTTGCAGGTTAACATCTTCTCTTTTTTTACTAAACTTGATTACATTCAGCCTTGCCTAATTTCTTGTGCATGGCACAAACTAGGGTATTTTCACTGCACTTGTAAGATTATCACTTAGACCACTTGAAATACACCAGAACAAAACAACCTAAGTGACCCAAGATTGCGCCTTGTGTGACATTTAGGTGTTGCCTATAATTTGAACATAAATGGCATTAGATCTGAAAATACTGGAAAAAGTACTTTTTATTATTTTATTTAGAACCAGTTTGGTGTGGTGGTTAAGGCATTAGGCTAGAAACCTGGAGATCATGAGTTCCAGTCCCACCTTAGGCACAAAGCCAGCTGGGTGACCTTGGGCCAGTCACTCTCTCTCAGCCCTAGGAGGGAGGCAAGGGCAAACCACTTCTGAAAAACCTTGTCAGGAGTCAACACTGACTTGAAGGCACTATATCTACAGTATATATCTATATGTAGATATATACATATATGGACAAGACAAACCATACATGGATGAGGCAA